ACGAGTGTGTTCGGGCGGAAATAAAAAGTAGGCTGGGGGTTGTTTTAGCAAAAATGGAAGGCGAAAATGCAAAATAGCCTCATAATAAAAGTCATCCACATCATTTCTTCGAACACTGATTCACGAATCATTGGCAAATTGCGACGGGATGGGCGGAGTCTTATATACCCCCTTCGCGCGGAGTGGACCAGGTGGCGCGTGTTTCGGGGACGGAAAGGTGGGAGCCTGGATTATCGTGTTTTTGATAATGGACGCTGATTTTAAAGGCTGCTGTGGGTTTCTGGTTTACTTTTGTGATCTTAACCAAGTCTACAAGTATGAATAATCGGCCTAAAGCCTTTTACAGCATACAACGGCTCAACTTTGCGTTTTAGTAGTACAATAACCTTAAACTCTTACTAAAATAGGATCAAAATTAAGCGAAAAACACGCTAAAGCTTGTCGTCGACACCAAATTCGAATGGCCATCTTCGCGCGGCCATCCCGTCCCGTCCCTTCGCCAGGTTGACGGGATGGCGTGGTGGGTGTGGGTAAGGGAGACACTAATTGGACGCGGAAGGGAAGGAAAGGAGGGCTTCTCGTTGCCGAAAGCCCAAAAACTTCTCTCGGGGTCGGCCCTTTAGCAATAAGCGTTTACTAGTCGACCTTCTCCGGGGTTCATTTCCTCGTTGCCAACCAGGGGTCAAATTTTACGGGGCAAAACCGGAAGCTGGAAGACATGGGAGTTTCAAGAAGGCGGAAAGGCATGACTATGGATTTTTGCATATCGATTGTGTGTCGCGACAAAATTCTTAAATAATCCATGACCGACGTGCGTTGCCAATACCTTTAACTCGCTGGATTTTGCCGCTGTCTAGGTCGAATCATCTCGATTTAACGTTCAATAACCCCAAATGCTGCCAAAAATATTTTTCTGGTGCGAAGCAGAGTATGCAAGGTCTCGACAACACAACTACCCTGCAATCCAGTTCGCAATAAATTGGCAAACAGCTTAATTTCGGCCCCAAAACGCTGGGCAAACGATGGCAGCAGATGCGGGTGGGCAATCTCGGTGGGCTTGACGAGCGAAAAAAGTGGGCCTTCAACGTGTGTGTATGCCTACTTTTTTGGGCGACCACCCCTATGCTCATGAATGTTTGAAACACGTCTACCTGGTGCTCCAGTGAGTTGTGGAGGGGTAAATCGAATAATCTGCACTTGGGGCTTGGCCTGCGCTTAAGTCGCTCAGGAAAGTAGGCTTAGGCTTGGGCGTAGGCAGCGGGCGACCCTCAATCCCAGACGAAGAATTGAGAAACTTCTACTTCCATTTTTCGCGTCGTAACTCCGGCTTTTTTGGAATCACGTATTTCTGGGCCCAATTCTACACCGGCTAAAACTTCTGACGCCTAACTTCTGCTCGCCTGAGGCTAATTTTGACCCTTCCGCTGCTCGCTTCCACCGCCCACCACTAGTTTGGTTGACTAGAGGACGCCCGGCCCCAAAAATCGTTTGCTGAGCGGCTTTGCATATGAATTTTGAGAGCGATGGGGCCGGAAAAACCGAAGGGTTGCTGATGAAATACAGCTGGAGTGCAAAGGATCGTGGCGGAAAAACTTTCGAGGTCAAAATTGTGCGGGGACCAAGTCAGTCATCGTCAGCTAAGTCTAAGCCGAAGCCCAAGCCAAAGCCTGATCCTAAGCCTAAGCCTAAGCTCCACCTAAGCTTGAGCCTATTCTTCGCTCGTTCCTTGATGCCAAAAAACGCTTTCGACAATACAACCTTATTTAAATCAAAATTTTATTTGGGATTTTATGTTCGGATTGTTAATAAATGGTGTCAGTTCTCACGAATAAATTCCGATAAAAACCAACCTGTAACACCCGCATTTTGCCCGGAAGCGTTAATCGTTGCGTTGCGCTTGTCGCCAAATAGAATCCGAATAGGAAGGGCTAAGTGCCCAGAGAATCCTCGAATGATTCTGGAGGATCCTGTCTCGCCTCGAATCTCAGAAGAAGCAGCAGACGCAGTAAATACTGACTGATTCAGAGATGCATCGCCGGCAGGCAGGAAGGCCAAGAGGATCCGTTTGAAGACGACGACGAGGAGGAGGACGAGGAGGATGAAACACACGGACAAACAGACACACAGTAGGGGGTGGGACCACGGCCAATTTTAGCCCCGCCTCCTGGGGTAACGCCAGAATTTTGAAAGTTTGGGGAGAAATGCTAGGGATGAGAAGGTGAAAATCGATTATTTTTAAAAATTTCTAAAATTTTAAGCTTAGGCTTCGGCTTAGGCTTGGGGTTCGGTTCACGCTTAGGCTTCGACTTCAGCCCAGTTTTGATGAAGAACCGGCTCTCGAGAACAAAAATGAAAGTTGTATTTCCGTTCTATTAGTGCGGCAAGAAACCTTAACAATCTTACCGCCGTCATAAATATCGATTTTCCGCATGTTTCACGTTTTTTGTAAAACTCTTTTTAATTCAGTTTCCATGCTTTCTATAGTGTCCCATCAAACCCAAAATTCCACAAAAAACCTGTTAACGCAAGAATTTCTTCTAACAGTCTTTCCGGAGCAATACAATATGACGTGCTTCCAATCAATTTTGCAGCCCTCCAAATTTCATCTAATCAATTTCACTGAAAAACCCGAAATTTATTTGTTTGGCGGCATTTTATATAGGCCCTCGAAGCCATTGTTTACAGCCCCCCCCCCTTCGGCTCGTCGCAGGAGTAGGATGAAAAGACAATGGTTCCACCGAGGGGGCCCTCCCCCTCTACGATTCCCATATGACGATGAGTTTATTTTCGGATTGTCTTTGTCGGGGGCCAAGCATCGCTGGTTTTTGACAACACCGGAGAGGTGTTTGGAAACTGTGAGGAAAGGAACGGGGATAGGACAAGGTTGAGACCTCGGCTGAGACAAATGCGTAGGCTCAGGCTAAGGCTTAGTCTTAGAATTAGGCTTAGGTTTGGCTTAGGTTCAGGCTTAGGCCTAGGCTTAGGCTTAGGCTTAGGCTTAGTTAGGCTCAGGTTTGGGTGCTCTCGTTTGCTCGGCTTTGAAAACCTTTTTCACGGAAACGTTTTTGGTACGACTGTAAGACCCTTTGCCATAGGTTTTATATACTACCCACAAGGTACCCTCAAAAGGCCAATAGCACACCTCATCCCCATTGGCAACAATGAAACCATGGGAATTGCCTTTGATTCCCGGCGCCCCATCAAAAATTGACACGGAACGAGGGCACCTTCTGGACAGCTCGTTTTCGATCGCTACCCTACTGCAAAAAATCTCATGGGTGGGCTAAATTTAGTGGTTGCTAAACTCGTCCACATACTTGCTCTACCCAGATTGACCAGCGAAAATTGGGTAGTCGAAAAAAGGCTCTGGGGAAGCCTTGGGAATGAATTCCAAAGTGAAATCTGAGAACGATATTCTCTAGAAAACCGTGGCCCAATTTCTAGCCATTGATCCTTGAATAAGGCTTCAGAACACAATCCTGAATAACTATGCATTATGATCCAACATATTTTCAGGGCCGCGCGAACGCAGCCCCTGACGCAAAAATTTAGCTGTAGGCGAACGCCAACTCGGAGCTGCCTTACAGGTCAGCCCGGCCGAGAAGTGCAATGGCCAAGCCTCGCCATAGGGGTCCCGTCTTGATGATCACGGGAACCCCCCAGCCAGGTAAGTTTATGAACGGATGGGGGAGGGAAGGTATCCACAAAGAGTGAGCCAGGTGGAAGGCGAGTGGGGATATCGGTGCGAACTACATATGCAAATCCCACCGTAAGGTCAACCAATGCGATAAAGAGCGGAAAAAGGAGTGAGAGAGAGGGAGAGTAGAAAGAGGAAGAAATCGAGAGAGACAGTGGGCCATAGAGAAATCGTGAGAACTTTTTCCATTCAGGTCATTTTGGCTATTAAATAAGAAGCCTGCATAAAGTAGCAACAGAAGAATTTTCAAAAGCTAGAAAAATGCACCCAAAAATCAACTCCGATGACCTAAAAAACGGAGTCTCCAAAACCTGGAGCAAGCGGGAAATGGTTGCAACTGCGGCAAGAACGGCCCTTCTTGCCAGCCGGATAGACTCCCAGATTTGAAATCGGAGTCCCGGGGTGCTAAGGCGGTAATAGTATCCGGGACTTGAAACTGGAAGGTGTTTGCAGAAAAATGTCCCGTATTTCAATGTGCGTGGGCCAGCGAGCAAAGTTTGATGAGCAAAATTCAACAGCCTCGCTTCCGGATTAAAAAGAAAAGGCACTATAAGCCAAAGCTAGGGGTAAAATCGAAGATGTAGACTGCGAATAACTCTTGGTTATTCCTAGGTAGGAGCGTCCATTAACGGGGCGGGCCGGGCCACATTTTTTTTGCTCCGCCGCACAATAGTCTTTTTATGGACTGGCAGGTTCGTGACTCGACAACAAATCATTATTTTTTTTGTTAGGTAGAAGCACAAAATGGAAACTACCATGCGCAATCTGTGATCTGGTAGCACAGAGAAATTCCCCTATTGAGTTACTGAAATTCTAAACCCGATCAAACTGTAAGAGTTACACGATGATTCTAGGATTTCGTTATGATTCTAGCCCCGCTCTCTCGAGAGGGCGCCAAAAATTAAAACTTTTTGCTGCATGATTTTACTTCAATCTCCATAATTTATCATTTGAGATCTCATAAACACCAGTATTGCATGAAATCACACGTTTTCAGAGGTACAAAAAGCATAGCAATAAATGTAATAACATCACAGCGTAATTAAATTGTTTCCTTTATTTACAGCCCTCATGGTAGGCTGTGTAGCCTGACAAGTCGTAGATGGTCGGCGGCAGGAAGTTTTTCATTACTTTTCTGCAAACCTGCTTTTTTGCTTTTTTTTTAGCGATTACGGTATGTCCATGAAGCCAAAAAAACGCGTATTCAAAAATTAATGGAATTATATAATTTAAAAACGTGTTTTAACACGTCCTTATTACGAAAAATTTCACCAATTTCAGAAAAGATCGAGCCGAAGACTCACGAGCACGACTGGCACGGCGTCTCAAAAATGTGCTGAATCCGCTGGAAACGAATGAACAGCTTGCAGAGGTACTCCGGGTTCTGGTAGTTAACCTGCGAGCTCATCTGGACGAGGTAGATGTTTGTCTGTGTAGTGAGCTTGCGGTAGACGAGGTACTCGCTCTCCTTCGTCGTGTCCACCTGGAAAAACGAGGTAATGCCCCCAGTGTTAAAGCGCACCTTTTTGTCGCCGGTAGCATCGGTGTAGAACCAGTCTTCGTGCGGGGCGATCATGATCACGCCCTCCAGAATCCCGTACTGGACGATTAGCAACATCTTCTGGTTGCACACGAATTGGCGGCCGTCCAAGACGAAGCCGAATCGCAGCTAAAAACATTATTTGGGTTTTTTCACCAATAGGCAATGTCATATCTCCTTATAATCAGTGATTTAAGGTAACAGAGTATACTTTATGGGCGCAATAATTTATTTTAAATTCGAAATACAAAAATAAATAAGTATCACTAATAGAGAACCAGCTTCAAATGCCCAACCAACCTCAATTAACGCCTGCATCGTACCCTGCTCTAGATACATGCCCAGGATGCCGCACTTCTTTTTCTTAAGCTCGGCTTGCACCTAGAAATTTGAGGAAACTGAGAAAAAGTAATATTTGGAATTTTCTTCCTTGCGGAGCTTTCGCATTATCCGGGGAGGCGAACTGTGTTTCTTGAGGCTCAGATACCCTGGTAGTATCTTCTCGCATTTTAATAACGTTTTTTAGTAGATTTAAACTACACTTCTGGAGGAAAATCTATATAAAAAAGCGCTAGTCCTTTAACTAGCCTTTTATACTCTTTTAGTCGGAACAATCAAGAGCAACTGCCCTCCCCCCGATAATGCGAAAGCACCACTCATATTAAAAATGCTTACCCTAGCAAACGACTGCTCGAACATCCGGTGCGGGTTATGCGGATGCCAGTTTGAGTAGGGGATGTTTTTCGGAATCAGGGTGGTCGCTCGCCTGGTGTATGGGCGGTGCTGGAGGAAGATTTCGGCGTATGAGTAGGTTTGCTGAAAAGCCGGGCTCATTTTATCGTCATTCTACTATTGAAATTCTTTTCTCGAAAGTTATATTTTCTCAAATAAAATCAACCTTAACAAAAAGCGGCTTAAGTGCAGTCAACCCCCCCGCCGACCCCAACGACCGTATCTCCGCTCGCCGTATTGATACCGTGTAGTAAAGCATACCAAAATGCTCGCCGGAGCAAGGCGAACATTTTGTTATACTTAATAAACCTGTAGACCAACAGGGGGGCCAAGCTACAAAGGTTGGGAGGGTGTAAATTGCACACTAACCAAACAAACTTACATAATTCGACTCGTGCCAATTCCCCGCGTCGATCGCACTATCAATCGTCTCAATCGCCGAGAGTTCATATTGCTCTTCCTAAAATGCTAACTCCAAAAATTTCACCACTTTTCTCACCTGATAGACACTCTTAAAGTTCTCAAGCCCATCAAACATGGGCACCGACTTGCCGAGCTTCTTCGAGAGTTGCTCTATGCAGTCAAAACACTCGACAAGCCTCCCGGCCTCCTGGAGCTCTTCGGGTTCGGGGAGTTCGTTGACTGACGAGGCGACGAGCTCGTCCATTTTGTTCACAATCTGCCGGATTCGTCGCAGGAAGAAGATTGCTGGAAAGAAAATTTCCTAGTTTGCACGTTTTGACCTACTGTCATTGACTACTGAATGATGGGCCTTCCTGTCCAATGGCAGTTCTGGGGCTAGGCCGGGCTGGGGTTGAGCCCGGACTGCTTGCTGCTGTTGTTGTTGTGGTTGTTGTTGCGGCAGTTGGGGTGGTTGTAAGACTGGCTGCGGGGCTGGCTGTGCAGGGCCTAGCAGGACATGGCTGGCCATTCTAAAATCTGAGTGAGAAAATATACCGCTCTTTATTTTCGACATGAGAATGCGTGGAACCGCTAAAAAATCCATGTTTTTAGTATTTTTTGGCCACGATTTACAAAAGTTTGAAGAACACATATAGTAAATGTCTGTAGCTTTGAGATCTCGTTAACCCAGTTAAGCTAATTTCGCTTTTAAAATAAAATTTTTGTTGAAAAATTTGCCGACCTTATCTATTAGAAGGTAAGTAGCATGCACCGGGAAATGGGGTAATTCATATAAAAGAGGAAGAGGTACCAATTCCCCCATTGTTTCGAAAACAGCGAATTTGAACTCAAGGCTTGCGTCGCAACCAATCCAAAGGCGATAAGCAATCGTAGCGGGGGCACAACGGACATGCGTTCGTTAGGGGAGTGCTGCGGAGCCTTATAGGTATAGATGCCACAACGGAATTCAGAAACATAAACAAACAAACAAGAGAAACAACGATGAAAATAAAACGTTATAACCTCAAATTCTGAGTAGAATCCAATTTTTTTCCCCGGGCATGGTCAGCAGATGTTCTATCGATCCTAGATAAGAATCAGCCAAAAAGTGCATGTGTACTCATTAATGGTAGGGTCTGCGCTAAGAAACTAAGTAGCAATTTTGAAGCACTAAAATTCAACTATTGCTAAGCCAACTGGCTCATTTTGAGCCATTGAGGATACGTCAAAAACCACCATCTGCCTCAATTTGCATAATTTGCACGCGAATTGCTCTGTGCCGATAAAACGGCACCGCAAACTGATGGCAACCGAGAGGAGGAGGCCAGGCAAAGCCAGGCTTGCCTAGGCTCCTCAGGCTTTTCTAATTTGCACGCCTAGGCTGAGCCTGGGCATGCAAAGTACGCCGACCCTAATTAGTCAGGCTTTATCTTTTAAATTTTTAAATTTTATGTAAAGCCGTATAATATTCGAATTTTTGCCGAAAAAATAAGGATTTTTTGAAACTTCCGGGGCGAAGAGCGTATTGGGTCCAAGAATATTCTACAAAGTTAGGGTACTGTTTTTGACAAACCTTACGGCACGATACGTTAATAGCACGCGGATACACAAAAGTCAAGAGTCGGTTCAAACGGGCGGGGTGCAATTGCTCTCCTGATATCCTGCCTATGTGTTTCCCACCTTCGGCCTCCTTGTAATTTGTTATTGCGACAAAAGATACTAACGTTTTAGATGCAGTAACCAGATTAACATGTTTCACGCATTGATAAAGCCGCGTAAATCCTTAGGCTTCCGCCAGGTGGAGGCGAATGCAATTCCAAGAAAGCCTGAGGAGGCCTGCCGCTCCCTCACTCTAGTCAACCGTAACAAAAAAATCCACTTTAGTGTTTCTTGCATGAAAAAAATATACCATCAGAATGTCCGGCAACAGAAAATCTAACATCTGTCGACCACAAGTACAGGCGATGTAGGTGATGCGTTCGATTCTGTGCCCCCACTCGCTCCCCACCCGGCCCACTCGGTTTGGTTACCTTCCCTCCCCCAACCCTTCATAAACTTACCTGGCTGGGGGGTTCCCGTGATCATCAAGACGGGACCCCTATGGCGAGGCTTGGCCATTGCACTTTTCGGCCGGGCTGACCTGTAAGGCAGCTCCGAGTTGGGGTTCGCCTACAGCTAAATTTTTGCGTGAGGGGCTGCGTTCGCGCGGCCCTGGACATGTTCTGAAGGCACTTCAGCTTCATGTACGGAACGAAGGCCAGAAGATCCAGATCAATGACCCCGTTTTCCCGAAACATGGCACCAACGCTAATTTGTAGGCCCGTCCGTGTGCAAATGGCTGCTCGACGGGTCAGCTAATCAACGGGAAGGGGCGGAAAAACGAGACATCATCGGCTAGCTCGGGACGGCTCCTCTGAATTCATGCGGCCAATTATTTTGCCGGCTAGCCGCCAGTCATCCGACGGGTTTTCCGAGATGCAACCCGTTTCCGTTGACTGCAATTTTTGCATAGGAATATTTTGTGCGCCTGATCTGCTTTTTTTTAAAAACTCACGCCAAGCTAGGATTTTTTTGGCTAACACTTTAATATCCCACTGGTCTCAAAATATGGGAGAAACGTTTGCTATGTGGGGGAGAGCGAGAGCGAGAGGGAGAGAGGGAGAGAGAGCGATAGAGAGCAAGAGACCGAGAGGGAGAGAGCGAGATACTCAAGGAGTCAGACATTTACAGAGATGAAATTCGCCGAGCGCTTTTATTTTGAGCATTCACTATTAACTATTTTATATAATCAACAGCTTGAAAACGGTTTTTCGAGTTTTAAAATTGCCCGATTTTTTCACGTCTTTTTTATCGTCCGTACCTCAACATGAAAACTCTTCTTCATTCAAATCCCGGGTTCTTGATTTTTTCAGAATCTAATTATAAAACGAGTCCAGTGTTCGTCCCCTTTGGCCATCGATCGGTTGCCCCCCACAAATAGGGCCATTCCTGGGTGGGCTTTTTGGAGGAGGGGGCCCCGGCGGGCCCTCGTTGCCTTATTCCTCTGTTTCTCTCGATTCTCTCGTTTCTCTCGCCTACCCTCCCCGAATTTCCACTTATTTATCCAGAGGACCTCCAGGGCGCCCTCCTGAAGCTCTCCGTCCTTCCGGCTGGGCCGAGACCTTTTGAATTCAGACGTCATTTCGTGTGTGCGAGCGGATCTTGCGGCTCGCTAAAAGTTGTCGCGTCACTTTGGACAATTACCCACTACACTTACACTTTCGGCTTCTCTTTCGATACCTTCTTTTGCGTCGCTGCAGTTTTGATTTATTTAGATGTTTAGGCTTCTCGAGCTTGACTAACTCGTTGTTTTTCCTCCGAAATGAGCCGATTTTGGACTTATGCATTTCCAAAAAAATACATCTATGGCGAAATGTATTTGCATGAAAACGAAGATCACATTTTAAGATTTTTATCTCCTTCTAAAACATTCACGAGGCTCTAAGATCCGAAATTCGTAGGATTTTGAGCATAACAGTTGCGAAATTTTAATTTTTGTGTCAATTTTTCTATACATTCTCGTCCAAAACAAGCTACGCTATCACTTCCATCATTTAGGGACTTGGGCAACCGACTCCTTGGAGTTTGAAGCAAAAAATCAGGGCCGGAAATGGCTCAAATCCCTCGTTCGTCGTCGTACGGGGCCGCCGACTCGGCGGAGGAAGGTAGTGTATCTAAGGCTGATAAGAAAATCTACAAAAATTAATTTTTTGCGCGGAACTTGTGCTATTAACGCATAGCTTCAACCATGTGCACGATCAGATCTCTGATCCGCCTTTTTGACACATTGCTGTAGTCTGTAGCGCCAATCTAGCTGTCCACCTCAAGGGTCAAGAAAAACAAGCCCTAATCCTTTGCATGCATGTACAAACGGGTTCCATTGGATCAGGATGAGGTTATTTCTGAGTTGCCAGGTAATTGCATAACGTAATTTCGAAGGTATACCTCAAAGACTGACCATAAAATTATGAAAAAGTCAAGAAGATAAAATTGGATCTAGTTTTTGCACGCTAAATTGGAAATGAAGAATGCCTTTAATCTTTCATAACTTGTGCATAAATTTGAATTAAAACAAATTTTTGGGGGAAAAGTGTTTTTTTTTTATAAAATAGAGTTCAGAATTATGCCAAACCTAGAACAACGAATAATATAACTTTATAGAAAAAGGATGGCGCTTCGAGCGGCGTTACATGGTGGCCCTGCTGGCGTTCTTCGGCTTCGCGAACATCTACGCGATGCGGGCCAACCTCTCCGTTGCCATCGTGGAGATGACGTCTGGAATTGACCAGAGTATCAATGGAACGACAGTGCATGTAGGGTTAAAAGAGCTCTATACCTTAAAAAGCTTAAAAAAAAAATTTATGTCGTCGATTCAAAGCAAAAAAAACTATCTTTCAGCTCCCCGGCGAGTTCGAGAATTGGACCCCGTTCGTGCAGGGCGCTATCCTGAGCTCCTTCTTCTACGGCTACATCTTGACTCAAATTCCGGGCGGCTTCTTGGCCCACCGGTACGGCGGCAAGATGGTGTACGTCGCAGGAGTGGCTGGTAGTTCTTGAAAATCGAAATACAAAACTTTTAATAACATTAGGTACCGCCGTTTTCACCCTCCTAACGCCACCACTTGCCAAAATGGGCTATTCGATGCTGATTTTCGCTCGATTCATGGAAGGACTTTTAGAAGTAGGTCGCCCCTTGAAAAATCTGTGTCTTTTGACGGCCTATGAAAAGTTTACAGCGAAAACAAATAGCATGAGCTTTGGAAAGGATTGAAACTTCAAACTTAATCGTGATTTGCATCAAAATTTCTATTTTCAGGGCGTCACCTACCCAGCGATGCATGTCGTCTGGTCCAACTGGGCCCCGCTCCTCGAAAAAACCAAATTGGCCACATTTGCCTTCTCGGGTTCCTATTTCGGTACCGTGGCTGCGATGCCAATTTCCGCTTCCCTTGGGCAGCACTTTGGATGGCCGATGATTTTTTATTTCTTTGGCAAGTTTCGGAAGCGTTTCCAGCTCTCGCTCTCTATCACTCACTCTCTCTCTATCTCTCTCTCTCTCCCTCTCTCTCTTCTCTCTGTGGAATGAACGACATCTTAGGGTTGGCGGGTCTCGCTTGGTGCTACGTGTGGTGGAAAGAAGTGGCGGATACACCCTCCCAGGATCTCAAGATCTCTACCGATGAGTTGACACTACTCCAGAGAGACGCCATCAATACAAATACCTACGTAAGTAGCTTAAGTTTCATAAAGTATCAGTGACAGCGGCAAAAAATTGACGAGCACTTTTACTTGAATTTCCATTTTAGATCGTCCCCTGGCGCATGATCCTGGCAAGCAAGCCAGTTTGGGCGACCGTCATCGCGCACTTTTGCCAGAATTGGGGCTTCTACACGATGCTGACGAACCTTCCAAGGATTCTCGGTGATCTGGCTAATTATCAATTGGAGAAGGTTGGATGAAAATGCATAAAAATATCAAGTAGTTAGGCTGGATTTATTGCCGGGCTGCCGTACCTCGCGATGGGGTTGGTGCTGATCTGGGCCGGTCAATTCTCGGATCATCTGCGAAAGGAGCGAGGGATGACGACGGTGCGGGTGCGGAAGTTCTTCTGCGTAGTTGGTAGGTTATAATAGGTATCTTAAAGCCCTTCTTAAAAACGCATCTTAAATCCATCGTATCGACTCGAATTTTTTGGGAGGCTGGTATTTGAACCTGTGTACGTTAGAGGCTCTGTCATTAATGCCTCAACCCGATATACAGTAATTCCTAAACTGAAGATACCTCATTTCACGCTGCACTTTTCAGGCTTCTTCGGCCAAGCCCTGACCCTCCTCGCCGCCTCTCTCACGCGTTCTCCAACCTGGCTCGTCGCCTGGATCACCATCTCCATGGGCCTCGGAGGCCTTACCTGGGCCTCCTTTTCCGTCAACCACCTCGACCTCGCTCCACAGTACGCTGGACACCTCATGGCACTCTCCAACACCATCGCCACGCTTCCCGGAATGCTTGGGCCTCTCATCGTCGGGATTGTCGTTGTGGATTATGTGAGTTTTACGTTACGGATTGACGTTGCCATTTATGGAAATTCTATTTTAGTGCGTATCGTTCCTATTTTCAGACTGTTGCTCAATGGAACGTTATCTTTTACCTGACCACCGTAATCTACGCGCTTGGAGGGTTTATGTACGTTCGATGGGCTTCTGGAGAGCTCGAACCTTGGGCTTCGGATCATCTACCGTTTGCTTCGGAGCTTTCTTAGGCTTCGGAAAGCAGCTTAAGTCGTTGTCCTCGTCGTTCTCTCTCTCGCTCTCTCTCTCTCTCTCTCTCTCTCTCTCTCTCTCTCTCTCTTTATCTCGCTCGCTCGCTCTTCCGCTCTCCCAAACCAATAGCAGATTATCATACACTTTTACTACAAGAAATATCCTAATTGTCTGTACCTACAGTATTCCTTACCTTACCTATTTCCGGTTCACCGTACCTTAGTGTAGCTTCTATAGTAAGTTTTGGCTTGCAGGTCCCTTTAGGGCCAAAAAATCCCGGCATTTCCTTGCTGCCATAATAATTCTCCCAAAATTCCGCACCAATCCCTGTCCTTTACGAGTCCAAACTTACTTCCCACAGCTACGAATTCCACACAAAACGCTCTCCATATCATTCAAAACTTAAAAACTAGGTTGTGTTTTACCCTCTGATGTGATATGCAAAAACTCTAGCGCATTTTCTATGCATAATAAATTGTGTGCCAATGTGTAGCTTATAGACGTGCGTAATAAGGCATTTTCACAAAAATTTACTCAATGATAAGTGACTGAAGGGCTGTTGGGGGGCACAACACTGCGCGACGAAGTGAGCTGTTTGAGTTTTTGTGACTGGGGTAAGTGATTTTTTGCCAAAGTTTGAGGGTCGTTGTTATTCTCTGAGAGTGTTTAGGCCTCTTCTCCTCCCGAGGTGAGCATCTTGGCGAAGGCGACGTAGTCAACCTGGAAAGAAATTTGTTGTTGAGCTAAACAAAGGCGCGGATTTTTGTAGCCAATCAAATTCGTGAAATAAATTACAGGGTGGGCCAAAAAAAAAAGTAAAGTTTGGGTCAAATTATCTCGCGAACGGAAACGAATCAGACCATGGTTACCTTGCCAGAATGCTTAAATATGCTGGGTATGAAGAAATAACACAAGTTGTTTTTTAAGATTTTTGACGACCAGTGGGTCGTTAAAAATTTTTTAACATTTTTGAAAAAGTAGAAAACTTAGATGCGATAAAGTATGCAACTTTTGATGAGTTAGCGGGACTTCAAGGGTATCAAAATGAAGCTCTTGGAATGCGCTATCAAACCAGTGGGAAAGAATTTTTGATCGGTTTAACTAACCGTCAATAGGAGCCCTCGGAAAAAATGGACTTTTTGAAGAAAAAAATCCAGATAAAATTTCCTTACCATCCGATCTCGCTGATATTTTGTATTTACCAATAAATAGATAAATACTAAATTTTGGCATAACAAATTTTAAGTTCCCGATTAAAAATTTTTTTGGCATTTTGCCAACTCGGCAGAAACGGCAAGTTTTACGTTTATATAGTTAAAAATGTAACATGATTATCTTTGGCAAATAGCAAACAAATAGAAAAAGTTACCGTGGCAATGTGCTTTCTCTATGGCCAACTCGGAAACGCCATTCCTCGAAAAGTCCGTTTTTTCCGAAGGCTCCAATTGACGGTTAGTTAAACCGATCAAAATTCTTTCCCACTGGTTTGATAGCGCATTCCAAGAGCTTCATTTTGATACCCTTGAAGTCCCGCTAACTCATCAAAAGTTGCATACTTTATCGCATCTAAGTTTTCTACTTTTTCAAAAATGTTAAAAAATTTTTAACGACCCACTGGTCGTCAAAAATCTTAAAAAACAACTTGTGTTATTTCTTCATACCCAGCATATTTAAGCATTCTGGCAAGGTAACCATGGTCTGATTCGTTTCCGTTCGCGAGATAATTTGACCCAAACTTTACTTTTTTTTTTTTGGCCCACCCTGTAAATCAAAGTAGGGAAATAAATAATAAAGATTTAATAAAATGAACGTACGGTTGCCGTACAGAAACGACTGAAACTCTTTAAACGAATAGTAACAAGGCGTTTCTTGGATACTTCGAAACCGATTTCATTAAAAGAAACTATCCATTTTTATACGAAAAAAATCGGAATAACATTGGTACGCGGTCTACATATATCCGAGTTAATTTGTTTCAAATCAAAATTTAAATTTTTAGAGGGATAGTATTATCATATCTTTTTTAATCTCCTATCAAAAACTCTAGTTAAAAATCGCCGGACTATCAATTTGATGTGCAGCCTAAATTCATTAAAAATTAGCGATTCCGACATTAAGGTTATCTTTAAAGCCAGGCCCTAAATTTTTCTATTTTTTTACCCCACCTCTCCCTTGTCAATTGGTGGCTTGCCCTTGAGCATGGCTTGGTACTCGTCGTCGCTCAACGGGTTGCCGCGCTTGTTCATCAGCAGGCCCATCAACTCTTGCTCCCTGAAAACGACACGTATTGAGTGCACTCCGTACTATTCAATTTTTCATCCGGAAATTTCAAGTTTCAGTCTCTACCCACTTCATCTTTCCGGTCCCAGACTTGTCGAACATTTTGAAGGCGTCGACGAGTGCGGAGAAGGTGTCACTGCCGTGCATCTTCTCGCCGAACATCGACAAGAAAGTGGTGAAGTTCAGGGGACCAGCGGCCTAAAGTCAACTTTAGATTGCAGACTCTTAATTCTACTGACCTCCTTGAGCATGTTGTCAATCTTCTCAACGGGCTGAATCTGGCCCAGGCAGGCATAGAGATCCGAGAGATCGTTCTGAAAATCTCGGTAAATTATGCGGCTTCTCGGCCTACTCGGTCGATGACGCCGTCCTTGTTGCCGTCCATGATGGCGAACGACTCCTTGAACTCCTGGATGGTCTTCTGGTCGAAGGTCTGCTGCACGGATGACTGCGACTTCGACTTGGTCTTTGTCGACTTCTTCTTCACGGCCTTCGACATGGTTGCTCACTTACGGGTCGCCGAAGGAACAATTACCTGGAAGATCGGAGGATAGTCATTCACAATAGATTTTTTCCGCAATAAAGAGAGCATGAAGGATAAAAATATGGTGATTCTTAGCTTAGATTAAGGCTTAGGCTTAGGCGTATGTTAAGCTTAGGCAAAGGCTTAGGCTTACGCTTAGGCTTACACTTTTTGTCGTCCTAACCTTCAAGATGTTCTTCCACAATTACCTGCTATCATCATTCTATCGTTTTCCCTCGGCTGCAAACTATACCAAAATACAATCTAGTCCCTAAATTCCCTCTTTTTTCACTAAAAGTGCATTTCCACTGCTCTACCTCTCCGATCCCTCAGCCAACTTTTTACTTCTTCGCATTTCCCCCTTGAGCCCCACCGAGAAAGGGGGTTACATCGACAGCCGGGTGCGATGGAGGGCCACACAACGGAGCAAGAGATCACAGCCCTCCTCCCCATAGCCACGGACAATTGGAGACAGCTGTTCTCGGCTGAATGTCGAGGGATACCCCCGAAGGCAGAGCTTGAGGCGTTGTACGGCAAAACAATGTTGGGGAGGGAGAGGGAGGAGGTGGAGGTGAATGTGGAGAAGGAGGTAGAGGTAGGCGACGACAAGTTGGAGATAATAGAGATACCGCAGGTGTTAGGGAGAGACACCGAAAAGCTTATCCTAAAAGCTTATGTCAATCAGGTGGATAGGAGAACTTGAGAGGAGGAATTGCAGGGTGATAAGAAAAGAGAGAGAGAAAGTGGGAGAAAGCGAGAGAGAGAGAGAGAGAGAGAGAGAGAGAGAGAGTAAGAAGAGAGAAGAGAGAGAGGAGAGAGAGAGAGAGAGAGAGAAAGAGAGAGAAAGAGAGAGAAAGAGAAAAGCAGCAGAATCACAAAAACCGAGCTGGAACCTTTGGTTTGACTTCGTCGCTCAGGCTGTCCCAGGAACAGCCCTTCCTTACCCAAAAAATACAAAAAATCTTGCAATTTGACCAGAAAAAGATAGCAAGCGCGCAAAGAATGCAGATGAATGATTTTTAAGGCTAGAGAAAGCCTACAGTCCTGCTTTTTAGGTATTCAATGCTTCAAAAACTAATTTCTTTAGTTTCATGGTCACCGTGGAAAATCAGGTCCGGCAGAGTCAGATGAGCGCTTCTAACGTTTCATTAGTGCAGCGCAAAGTAAAAGCCCTCTGCCAGTTAAACGATAAAACCAAAGAAACTAAAACGGGAACAAACTCCCAAGCGAGTAGTTGTGTGGCCGTCCACCGGTCGCAGGCTCAGAATGCGCGAGAAGGCATCTGGATGGCTGAGAGGGCCCACAGGTGGATAGGGCCATTTAGTCTCATTTTCTCTCGCTCTCTCATTTCTGTCCCCGCTCTCTTGCCTCTCCTACGCACGGTCTAGCGGGAGCAGGTGAGAGATTGGGGATATCTTGGAGAGGCGGAGAGATAGGAACAGTTTGGGATACGGGCCCTAAAGACTGTATCCTAGGTTTTTAGGGATAAGGTGGGACTTGGAGGCTCTAAGAATTTCGGTAGAGACCTGGAAAATCGGGAGGTTCTGGCGTGCAAGACTCCCCCATGGATCGATGATTCCTCGGAGATTCTGACAGTCAGAATCTATCCCTACCCGAAAAAACGGAGTCTTCTGGGTGCCGAAGCGCTTCGAGAGCCTCCCCCTCTCAGCATATCCGCCCCTCAGTTCTTTGTAAATACAGGAGGGCCCCTCCGTCGCTTTTTCTCCCAGCTCTCACTTCGGCACAGGGCCCCTCTTTTTCTTGTCCCCAGGATCCGACTGATCTGTGCGGGATTCGTGTGTGCCTGGGCCCCTCCGGAAATCCCTGCATATTTCCTGGGCCCGGGCCCGGCCATTTTACACAAACTGCGCGCTCACGCCCAAGCCTGGGGAGAGGAGAGACGTGGTGCTGGAAAAAAGTTGAGGAGGGGGAGCTGAGGTGGAAAAGCTCATGCCCGGGGGGGGTGAAGGAGGAACTGACGAATCGGGAACGGAGATCAATTTTGCGTGATTACGGATTTAGAACACCACGAGGTTAAGGTGAACCAAAGTCGAAGACGCTGCAAAGATACAACCGAATGTAAAATAGGAACAATATTGTCTCATCCATTTATTATATTTCATATAGCTTTGTAACCGTTCCTAACCCGAACGGCTTTCAGGCAATAATTTTCTCTTCGCTAGCAAATCGGAA